ACAAAAGGACGGATATGGGCTTTGATAAAAATACAGTAAAAGAAACAGAAAAAGTATAGGATAAAAATCCCGGGTATCTCTTTTGTTTGCATGTGCTGTTCTTATTGTCGTTGAGATTGATGATTGACCCACTTTTGGGAGTTTGCAGATAATGACGTTTCTGAAAGCAATTTCCATACATATTATATTAATACTGTTGCCATTTGCCAGTTTATGTTAGAAGCTGCTGTGTATTAGCCTAGGTGGTGGTCAACTTGATAATCTTTAATTCTTTTAGCGGCTGAATGAACTTTATGATCTGCATTGGATACCTGGGTCCTGGCTATTGAGAAAAATCGGTCTTGGGATTTGCGAGCTTCCACAATATATTAATCTTGGCTGCCAAAATATATTTTTTAAGATATTGGTTGAAATTAGTGGCATCCGTCTGTGTCATATGATCGCGATATCACTTTCATAGCCTATTGCCAGATGATTTCTTGTGGATATCTTTTGAAAGGCCATCGCTGAATAGACCTGTTAGACGGATGATTTCAGTAGTAGTAGTTCTATTTTATGGGGTTTTTTTTACAACGAAATTGACGCTAAATTGTTCTTCAACTGTGAAACCAATACGTTGTCTACTTCTGTTGGTTGGGGCTTTTGAATTTTTGATTGACCCCTACGCCAAACCATGAGCAGTAAGCTTTGATAGCTTTCCCCCTACTTGAATAGCGAAACTTTGACTTGCCAGCAATGTCCTTGCTTGTATCATACTTGACAGAATTGTGATTACAATATGCAAACGTTTTGAAGGCCCTTTTTACCATTATTAAATTAGTAGGGTCACTGAATACCAATTTGCATTTGGGCGCACAGTGGTTTTTATGACCATAAACAATAGCCCATGGGGTGAGATGTCAAATCAACTCAAATAAAAATATGATAGTGGGGAGTCTTGTCAATATCTCCATTTAATGGGGCTGTTGTTTTGGCTCCTTTATTGCCCAACGAATCTGATGCGAATTGCAGCAAATGAGGGATGCTTCCCCTGTTTTCATCGTCCCGCTTAACTGCTAGTAATCACTGTGGTTTTTAGATAGCAGCCATCAATTAGTTGTGATAGAATCATTAACTCGGCAAAGATACCCCATCATCTTTCCCCAATAAAAAAAAAAAAAAAAATTTGGTTCGGGTTCTTCTAGGTGGAGTTGACTGCTGTGTCCATCTGTTTCTGTTCTTCTCCATGACGAATTTTATGCATCATTTTTTGCAGGTCGTTCGGGAAATACAACACTCGAGAACCGGGGTTACTGTAACAACGGAGGATGGATGCATCTATGAAGCAAATTATGTGGTTTTATCTGTTAGCATTGGTGTACTCCAAAGCGACCTCATTTCTTTCACTCCATCGTTACCCGTACGTTTTCTTCTTTTATTTATTCCATATTGTTTGTTACTATTCTACTGTTCTCTCTCTCTATTTTTTACTTTTGCCCCCACCAACACCAAGAATGCCCCCTACAATTTATGACGACGTGTCGTATCTGTTGCCTCTTGATCTGTGAGCCTCTATTGAGAGACCTAAGATGGGTGGGCAGAATCTTGACCTTTCAGTATTATTCATAACACAATAAATATCTCTTGGGCTCTGACGTCCTGTGAGGTGGTGGTGGGATTTTCGCTCTGACTTGACTTCTCTTGATATACATCTCTAAAGGGCCTGCTCCATTATTTAATTTTTCATTTAGTGGGCAGAGTCAGAATTTATGGATGGCAAGGTCTCCTACTGACTCATGACGTAAGAATCGAATTCCCAATGTGTCTATGTGCAACTCCCATGCAACAACATCTCCCAGTTTTGCATTTTGTGGTTCATATCCTCCGTGTGTGTCTCTAAGATTCAAACCCACGAGTCTATTTTACTTACCCACTTGTGTTTCTATTTACTGAACCATTGATTGCTGGTTGGTATGGTATGATATGGTATTTCCACACTGCCCTCTGTTTCTGTGTACTGATACTCCTTGTTGTAATCTTTTATTTCTATATCGCTGCCAGGGGTTAGTATTATTAACTAAACAGTAAGGTTTTAAATATAATGAAACAGAGGTGGAAAACAGAGGCCATAGAGAAATGTGACGTGATGGTGTATACAAAGATTTTCCTCAAGTTTCCATACAAGTTCTGGCCGTGCGGACCCGGAAAAGAATTCTTTATTTACGCCCATGAAAGAAGGGGCTATTACACGTTTTGGCAGGTACGTTAACATTTTTTTTTGGTTAATTTTTTCGTTGTTGTTGCCAGCTAACACTCATCTCATCATCACTACTCATCCAGAAAATATTAAGTGAATAAACAAAGCCTTCTTAGCTTAGAAGAATTGCATGCTTGCCAATATAAAGTCCACAGGGATAGCCAGCCAGGTCTTAGGTTGAACAAAGTAGTAGCCGTATGACCTATGTGCTATGCATCAATTTTTTTTATATTAGTTTAGTCTTATCATTATTAACTTATTATACGGTAGGAAATACTTTCATAATTAGGGGCACATGGGTCACATGCAACCTATCAACTCTCATGTTTAATTAATTCTTAATCCTTGTATTGGTTTCCAGAATACGGATGTCATCGCCTTCGACCCTCTAGTTACATGTTGTATCTGAATTAAAAATTTTAAAATACACTTATCACATCACAAATTTACTCAATACAATACAGTTCTTTAAGTTTTTCGTAGATAAACCTTTGGCACTCTCTTTTATGGTTTTGTTGATACTTTTGTCAGCTATCACATCTGTCAATATCTGCTCCACGAACATTATATCTTGAATGATGGAGCCATAATAATTTAAGGAGAGTGTTTTGCTTGATTGGCGGGGACGTATTGTGAATATCTCCGTGACTTCCATCTGATAGAGTCATGGCATTTGATACTTGATCTTCCTTTTGTGCCTGCTAGGGATTAATGATCATACTACTAACTGACTATTATGATGACATCAGAACATGGAGAATGCCTATCCTGGGTCCAATATTCTGGTGGTGACAATTACGAATGGAGAATCAAAACGAGTTGAAGCTCAATCCGATGAAGAGACGTTGAGAGAATCCATGGAAGTGCTTAGGGATATGTTCGGACCCGACATCCCTGATGCTATTGACATACTTGTTCCTCGCTGGTGGAGTAACAGATTCCAACGGGGTAGCTACAGTAACTACCCCATCATCTCCGATTGCCAAATTGTTCAAAACATTAAGGTTCACTGCTTTCTCTCTCTCGGCAATTTTTGATTCGTAAGTGATTGCATGATTGATCGAAGTAGAAACATTTTGTAGAAGCCTGTCAACGCGGCCAATTACACCACTGAACTGTCTTAAGCACGGAACTAACATATTTCGTTAAAAGACCATTAGATGGAATGGATTGAAATGTGACACGACAAAGCACAGACACAAGCTAATGTAGTGCGTTCAGAAGATGGTTTTGATTTCCTTTTTGTTAGTTTCACTTTGTTAGAGGGTCAAAATGCACCAAGTGTTAATCTCTTGCATCAGCAAGATTTAAGTAATTATGGAAACACTTGATGATAATTCTTTAGAGTTTTAAGACTATTTAGATGCCAGATATTTCATTTTAACCAATTTACTTCGGGCGTGTTGTTTTCAGGAACCCATTGGACGTATCTTCTTCACTGGAGAACACACGAGCGAAAGATTTAACGGCTATGTACATGGTGGATATCTTGCAGGTTTGTGAAACGCCTTCTAATTAATTTGGTTTTATTGGATACTTTACATACTTCTAATACATGTTTTTCTGACGAGATACACTTCTGTATTAACCCATGGAACAGGCATAGACACCAGCAATGCCTTGTTAGAAGAAATGAGGAAAGATAAGGAGAGAAAAAGCGAGGGCCAATCATTCTTGTTAGAGCCCTTACTAGCTCTAACAGGATCATTGACTTTGACACAAGCAGAGACTGTCTCAGGCCTTCACAAATGTGATCTTCCAACACAATTGTACCTTAACGGCAAGCTCGGTATCCAGGAAGCAATTTTATGACTACATGGACGACATATTGAGGAACATAGATCTTATTCGTATGACGAAAAAAACACGGTGGGTGACAAATATGACAAGAAGATGAATTTGAATCCAAACTTGATTCGAGATCCGATACCATCCAGAAAATAAAAGTTATGAGATGATGATCTTCATAGAAATCAAGGTGTGCCCACTTGTCTAATTGTTGAAGGGTTTACTTGTAGTCTGGCTGGGGTTTTAGTTCTAGAAATTATTTTGTTGATGAAAAAGTTCTAGAGGAAATTGAAGAATTGTGGGGGGAAAATATTGGATTTTCTAGTTGTATTGTTACTGATCTTTTAGTGCAAGAAAGAAGTTGATCTCTCACTTTTGACTCTAATTTACAAATTTTGTTCTTGAACTTCACAATAGTCTTACTCATACTATGTTAGATTTACAGAGTCAGTGGACCAACCGAATAAAATATAGATGCCAGCTTGGGTCCGTCAAGATATTCTATGGACTATAAAGTACAATTTCCAAGATGAATTTCTAATTTAACTAATCATTAAGATGATAAATGTCCTCCTAATCTAATGCTCATTAAGATTATTAGATAGATAGTTTCCCGTAATGATGGTCAAGTTGTGAGTACTGCTACCAAGTTGAAGAAGATTGTTAAGTGTGTGGAGGAAAGGAGAGGAAATATGATGAGTCAAAAAGGGTATGAGAGTTTCTCTCTCTGTCGGTGGGGGCTGTTCATTTATTTCCATATGGCCCTCAGATCCTTCATATCCTTCATCACTTCACTATATTTTTTATTTTTGTAATGGTAGTTGCCTTTCAGAAGGCCCCTCCCATATCTGTTCTAAACTAATTAAAGAAAAACGGATGATCCAAATTTGTCAGCTTCCTCAGTAGGGTATTGTCGGCTGGAGCACTGAGACTAGAGAGAGAGAGAGAGAGAGAGAGAGAGAGAGAGAGAGAGAGAGAGATTACTCTTAGTGTTTCTGTTTCTTCTCCATTTTAGCTTTCTATGATTATCCAAAGCTCTCTCCCAGTTCAAAACACAATTTGCGTAGCTTGAAGGAACTGTTTTGGTACACTATGTTGGTCCAGGATCGGCAAAACCCAAAACCCCACCAAATCCCACTCGCCAATACCTTCCCTGAATCCAATCCTTTTGATTTCTCCAACTGGGTCTCTCTCAATCTCTTCAAAATCGCTACCATTTTCTTTCTAACCCTCACAATCGCCTCCTTCTTCTTTCTCCAAGGAGCTCGTGATTCTGCTGCATTTCTTTGCTTCAACTCTCGCCCCAAACCCCCTGAACTCTTTCATTTGCCCAAAATCAACTTTGATTCTGTTCACCCCATTGTCGACAAGTCTTCGAGCTATGCCTCGTTTAGCTCTGATCGATGGATTGTTGTCTCTGTTTCGAGTTATCCTTCGGATTCACTTCGAAAGCTTGCTAAAACTAGAGGATGGCAGGTACTAGCTGTTGGAAATTCTAGAACTCCATCGGATTGGAGTCTCAAGGGAGTTATATTTCTGTCTCTAGAGCAGCAATCTAGCTTAGGATTTAGAGTTGTGGATTTTCTTCCTTATGATTCTTATGCTAGAAAGACTGTTGGGTACCTTTTCGCTATCCAACATGGAGCGAAAATGATATTCGATGCAGATGATCGGTGCGAAGTGATTGATGGGGATCTCGGGAAGCATTTTGATTTGAAATTGTCCAATGTGGATACATTGCAGGAGAGAATCTTGCAGTTTGATTTTGAGAACCCGAATAAAACCGTTGTGAATCCGTATATTCATTTTGGACAGCGGTCAGTTTGGCCTAGAGGGTTGCCATTGGAGAATGTAGGAGATGTTGTGTATGAAGAACACTACAGCCAAGTATTTGGAGGATTACAGTTCATTCAACAGGGCATATCCAATGGACTACCAGATGTGGATTCAGTGTTTTACTTCACTCGAAAGACACGTTCGGAGGCATTGAACATAAGATTCGATGAGCATGCCCCGAAAGTCGCCCTGCCTCATGGCGTGATGGTACCATTGAATTCTTTCAATACTTTGTTTCATACCTCAGCATTATGGGCTCTAATGCTTCCTGCTTCAGTTAGTACAATGGCTTCTGATATCCTGAGGGGTTATTGGGCACAGAGGCTTTTATGGGAACTAGGAGGTTTTGTAGTGGTTTATCCACCAACAATGTTTAGACATGATGACATTGAAGGATACCCATTTTCAGAAGAGAAAGATCTCCATGTGAATGTGGGCAGATTGATAAAGTTCTTGACCTCATGGAGATCAAACAAGGCCACATTCTTTGAGAAGGCTTTGGAATTGAGCCATTCAATGGCAGAGGAAGGGTTTTGGAAGGATAATGATGTGAAACTGAGTGTGGCTTGGCTTCAAGATTTGGTTTCTGTTGGGTACATCCAACCAAGACTGAAGGGATTTGAAATGAACAAACAGAGAAGAAGAAGAAGCAATGGTGGTGGTGATACTGGGAGGAGTTTTGTTCCTCAAAAACTGCCTGGTTTTCATCTTGGGGTGGAGGAATCTGAGACTGTGAACTTCGAGATAGGGAAGTTGGTTAGGTGGAGGAAGAAGTTTGGCAATGTGGTGATGATTTTGTTCGTTGAAAATGGAGGTGTTGTGGATAGAACTGCCATGAAATGGAGATTGCTTTATGGAAGGATTTTCAAAACTGTGGTGGTTGTGGCAGAGAATGGCAGGGCAGATTTGGGAGTAGAGGAAGCTTCTTTGGAGTTCATATACAAGTAAATAACTTCTTATCCTTCAATATAATTACTTTTCCAGTATTTTCTTCTTGGCATCTTTTCAACTTGTAGTCTATATTTTTAGGGGAAAATTGTTATTTTATCATTTTACTTTGTTGATGAGTTGGTCAATATTGTCTTTGATTAACTTAATTTGAACTTTGAATTAATGTTCCGTTCTTGATTAAAATGAAAATGACTAAATATTTATTTAGAACAGGTCATAAATGATAAATTCAACAAAATAATTGCCTTTTATAGGTACCTGCCCACGGTCTTTGAAAGATTTCCTAATGCAGAAGGTTTCCTGTTCCTGCAAGATAATACCATTCTCAACTATTGGAATTTACTGCAAGCAGATAAAGATAAACTTTGGATCACTTACAAGGTAATGCAGGTCTCAGTTGTATCTCTCTTGCTCCGTAGATCAGTTGAAAAATGTATGAATATTCCTGTTTCTCACAGGTCCCTCAGTCTTGGTCCAGAGTCAGTGATGACTCTGTCTGGTTTGGTAAACAAGCAGACTGGGTGAAGAAGATTGTGAACACAATGCCTGTTGATTTTCAAGTCAACTATAAGGAAAGTAACCCGACTGGGCGAGATCTCGTGATTTGTAACTGTGAAGTGTTTTACGTACCTCGGCAGTTTGTGGGAGACTTCAAGGATCTTGTTGCTCTTGTTGGCAACTACAAGATTGATTACAGAGTAGCTGTGCCAATGTTCTTCATGGCAATGGATCTGCCCCTAAATTTCGACGACGTGTTCGGCAGAATGGTATATAAGAAGACACCAGCTGAGCAACTGATAAGTAATGATACAAACTTGTATGCTGCTGAAGTTCCTGCTGTTCATCCATGGAGAGTTTCCAATGAAGTGGAATTTGCTGAGCTTATGAGACTCATGGCTGCAGGTGACCCGCTACTGAAGGAGCTGGTGTAAGAGTTGGATGTACTCAAAATGTGAGTGTACAAATGTATGTGTAACTTGGAGCCATGTCTTTTCCTCAAGTTTTTTCTTTTTTTGGCTTATATTTTTCCTCTACATTTAATTTTTTTTTTGTAGACGAAGTTCAGAGGAAATATCAATGTGAACTGTATATTGATTTGCTTTCAATTTGCATAGTTGCTTAAATGATGTGTAATACTCGAGAGCTAAGAAGATTCAAGACTTCTGAGAATTTTTTTTTTATCTTTGACACGAACTAATGATAATATGACAAATTATTGGAAGTAGAGTCATAAGATTAGAGTACACTAGGGGCCTTATTGTAAAACAGAATCAACTGCCCGGGCCGGGGCTCTTTCGACTTTCCCTCAAGGTCTTTAAAATGCGTGGGAGAGGTTTTCACAATCTATGTGGGATCTCACAATCCACCTCCCTTTGAGGCCCAGCGTCCTTGCTGGCACATTGCTCGGTGTCTGAATCTGATACCATTTGTAACGGTCGAAGCTCATAGCTAACAGATATTGTCTTCTTTAGGCTTTCCTTACGGGCTTCCCCTCAAGGTTTTAAGGCTTTTCCTTTTGGGCTCCCCATTACGCGTCTTTTAGAGCTACGCAGTGGAACCGTTACTCATCCAGTACAAGGTTCTAGAAATAGCAGCTGCATTTCCTCCCGCTTATACCGGGTAAAACACTGAAGCAGCGTGCCATTTGTTTGAGAACAGGATCCATTCCCTTCTCCAGGCTTCCAAATGGAAGCTCTCATTTTTTTTTCCTCAAGCTCCTTGATAGGTAAATAGGTCAAACAATTACGTAATAAGTCAATCTAATAAGAAAAAGAGTAGCAATGCTTTATGTATCATGCAATTAGAAAGGGGCACTGCCTACCTGCTTCATCTCAGATGGCTTTGTGGCCAACTTCTTTGCACTTCAAGCCATGTTACAAGCAGAAAATTTGGATTAGAAGCAAGTAGTCTGTTGATGTCTCTTATTAATTGAATAGATCTCTTGCTATGAAGATTTAGAGCTTCCACATTCTTCAAACGAAAAGCAGTTTCTTCTTCATTTGCCAGCTTCCCTCGCACTTGCCGTGTTAAGTCAACCAAGTCTTGTCCCAGGAAACAAGAGCACCACACCAATATCTTGAGGACTTGTAATTACATTCGAGAAACGTCCTGGTGATAAATAGAGAATCAGAAGACATGATTAGGTTGATGAAGTCAGATTCAAAAACATTGGAGAATTCTTGAAAATTATAATGAAAAGCACGAAGATGCATTACATAATCAGGGTAGGTTAACTGGCACATTTCATATTCTCAAACCTAAGCCAATCAACTTCGTCTAAAAATGCAATCGAGATATAAAAAACTGATAGAACAGATTTAAACTGTAACAAAATCAAGATTCCATCCAATAGTACCCTGGAAACAATCCGAAACTCGAAGCTATCTACATGAGTGGGAAGCAACCGCCAGAGAACGCCTTTGTCGCAGCTCCCTGAATCGAAGGAGATAAAGTTTTCGAATCCAAACGATGGATCAGGATCATTGCTTGAATCGTTTCTCGTTCCGAAAGAGCGATTTCAAGTACGACGAGAAACAAAACCAGCGATGAACTGAAATTCAGCATGCTTCCGTGGTGTGATTGAAGTTCAACCATGGAAGGCTCAGCTCAGATCAGTGCTTACCATTGGAAAAAAAAAAAAAACGGAAAATAATTCACCGGAGAAATCGTCGAGTCGCAATCCAGAATTAAAGTAGGTTAAATTACTAAATTACCCTCAACTTTTCAATTGTATTTTAGACCAATATTAATTTAGAAATTTGTTAGTACTTTTTTTTTTCTTAAGAATAAATTTTCAAATAATCGAGTTTTAAAATTATTTATTTATTTATTAATTAAGCATAAATAATAAAAAACACTTTTAGCAATCTAATATCACTTAAGAATTGTAAATAATAAATTTAAAAAGAAAAAAATAAAGGCATAAAATCGAAAAAAAGAAAAAGAAAAAGAAATCCGAAGTACATGCGTTCAACGTTCGATTTTCGCTTCGCGCCATTTTCCCCACTGTCCCCTTCACAGTCGCTCACTGAAACCCTAACTCTCTCTGATCACCTGGGATCGTTGAAATTTCATATCTGCAAAGCGCGACCAAGCTTTATGCTATGGCAGAAGCCAAGCATCGCGCAAAGCGCCCTAGAATTACGAGGTCCGTAACACCATCACTCAAATTTTGGCCCCCTGTTGAAATATATGTATTTTTCTACCATTATGCATTGTCTTGGTTTTTTTTTTTTTTTTTTTTTTTTTTACTTTAGTGTGATAATGGTTTTAGAACTTGGGTTTTGCTTACGCAGTTCTTTGACATATGTGTGGATATTGAGAAAGTGTATGGAAAACGGGAATTTAAGGATTCCACGGTTTTATCTTTTTGAGCTTCGACCATATCAAGTTACATTTATTCTCGTGGTCTTGGAAAATGAACTTAGGAAAAGTGGCTAAAATTATTGTACAATTTAGAGAAGTAGCTAAAATTAGCTACACCCTCTAACAGAAACTAATGTGTGGAGCTGTTGGCTGAAACAAATGTTAAACATCTTGTCTTAGTTGATTCTCTTATGTTTATTGTTATTTTCACCAAATGTTTTGTTTGTCTTAGTTGGTTCATTGACCTTCCTATTCGTTGATGGTTTAAATGACTGGAGGGATATAGGCATCACTTTCAGTTTTGGGAGGACCAGGGACTTGGAACTTGGCCTTCACATGAAATTCTTAACCTTTATGACCTCTCTGTTGTAAAGAAATTCCCTGTATTTGATGTCATTATAAGTTTTGCGGGATCTCATATTACAAAAATCTTTAAATGAAGATTATGTTAGATGAGACTTAAACTAAACAAGTAGAAGATTCTTTTGGATGGAATCTTAGAAATTCAGGGCATTTAGTGTCGCAATAAAGTCTCCATAACCAAATGGGCATCCTAAACCAACATACGAGTAGGTCGATTTTGGAAGGTAAGAACCTCAACAATTTCTTCCCTTTGAACCTTGGTTGTGGAAGCATTCTAGAGGAAAGGGGTAATAAAAACAAGAGATATTTTCATCATTGACCCACGAGCTAAGGATTTGAACTAAAACTTCCTGATCCTTGAAATATTCCATCCAAAGTTAATTTTTAAAGAAGCACTAAATGAAGTATTTCTAAATTTGATTGATTTAATTATTCCTTCATTGCGAGCAAGAAGGGAAGCTTGCAATGCCTTCTCTCCTAGTTTGAAGACTAGAAACACCATTTCTCATTCGACATGTGTTCAGGTGTGCCACTAGCTTCCATCTTGAGCCACTCAAACACATTAGTTTGAGGTACTTTCTCTACCCATTGTTATGTTGTCATGGATTTTCCAAATCATTCTTGGGGGAGGTTCGAGATTTCCTCGAAGCAATCTTCCATCATTTTTGTGGAAAATTGTTATGTCTCGTCTGAGCTGAGCTGCCTTCTTTATTTAGGCTAGGCTTGAGGGAAGGGGTAAGATTTCAAAGGGTAATCTAATTGACCTAAGGTAACGAAGACCTAATTTAGCTAAACTGACCTTAAAAAAGATCAAAGAACAAGAGTTAAGATAATTGCGAAGAGAGTCCTAGAATTCAATACATCATGATCCCAAGGGCGTTCAAGAAAAAGACCCTCAGCAACGCTTCTAACTTCCATCTTTTTGAGTAAGGATCTTGGTCGAGGGCAACATCTTGGAGTAGATTTGATAAGCTGGCCCACTCACTAGCCTCTAGGTCTTCAAGGTTTCTTCTAAAATCAGCTTTCTACCTTCCAAGCTCCTCAGACCAACATTGATCAACAAAAAAGTTACTTGAATTTACAACTCTATGCCTTCTTTAAGAGATTATGTCAAAGGGTTTTCAAGCAGTCATGGATCCGCCTACAACAAAATTCTGTCATCTTTACCAAGTTTTGTACCAATTATCCACCTGCAAGAATTCTTAACAATAGAAGGGCAAAGGATTCTAGAGCTTGAAGGACCCTAGGGCTTGCCAACCAACCCCTAGGACAAGATGGTACTTACCAACAGTGGCTTTCCTTCAAGCATTTGCTTCTAACTTGAGCTTCCTATCTCATTAGAAGGACCAAGTTCCTCTTATTGACGTTGTCAACTCAACACTGAGGTGCTTCTAGATTCAAGAGCAACTTAAAAGTGTTGAAAATAGATTAAGCTGAGAAGGAAAACACATATAAAATACTTTATTTTATACCTTCTTAAGTGTATAGACATACTTATAAGTGATAATTAATATTGTGAAATTAAAAATTTCACTGAGTTAATGTTTCAATATTATTTGTGTTCATTTTTCTTATGTAGATTTAGGGTTGAATTAAATGCATGTGCAATTTATATGTTTCTTTTGTCTTGCATCATACTAAATATTTTACCCTTTAACTTGTTCTTCAGGGGGGACGATGATTATATGCCTGGAAGTATAATTGAGATTGAGCTTCATAACTTTATGACCTTTAACCACTTGAAATGTAAGCCAGGATCACGTCTAAACCTTGTAATTGGGCCCAATGGATCTGGTAAAAGCTCTATTGTATGTGCTATTGCCCTTGGCCTTGGTGGTGAGCCTCAGGTTGGTTAAATTTCAATTAATGTACTTGATACTTAACCCAAGGCAATCTTTTTCTAGTTTGTTCTTTAGTATAGATTGGTTGGAATCTTTCTTTTGCAGCTCCTTGGAAGGGCGACCAGTGTTGGAGCATATGTGAAGCGCGGGGAGGAGTCTGGTTATGTCAGAATAACCTTGAGAGGGAATACTAAAGAGGAGAATATTACAATTACACGTAAAATGGACACACACAACAAATCTGAGTGGTTGTTCAATGGTAAGGTATCTTGTATATGATCCATGTCTTTATTTCTTCAACCTTTGTTACAGATATTAGTTCGTTACTAATTTGAGCTTTTGAGCCTTGCAAGTCTAGAAATATCATTACTTGGTTATCTTAATTGGACTGCAACTACAGCAGGAAATACCATGTTGTTTTATCTGTGAGCATGTCATGCTTATGGTTTTT